TAGCTTTATGTTAGTATTTCATCTGCAATGGCCCTATTCTATAATATAGAATGTGATACCTGGGGGGGGGGTTATACAAAAGATATAGGTAATCTGCTGTTTTTGGATGTTAGGAAAAACTTCCTAATAATAAAAGCAGTTTGACAGTGAAACTGATGACCAAGGGAGATGATGATCTCCCCTTCTTTAGACATAACGCTCCAGAAAGCAGACAGTGTCCACTAGAAATGCTTTAAATTAGATCTTTGCACTGAACAGAGGGGCTCAGTTGCTGAAATGGTCCCTTCCAGCTGGGTTTGAACAACTTGCTAGACTAGGCTAAAGCAGGGCTGGTTAGTTTGTTGTTCAAGGTGTTAAACACTAGCCATTAATTTAAATGTTATGTGAACTAGGCCATCGTATTGTGCCATAATACTCTTTTATTTGGATGTGATACATTATACGAACCTTGGATTCTATGACTATTTCAAAAAATGCCCCAGGTTCCCTTTCATATCAAATGCAATGGTGCCTTTTCTAGTGTTTTCCTTAAAAATGTATCCTATTGATGCTGGTCAACTTATTTATTTATTTATTTATATATCAAATTTGTCACCACCCATTTCGTTAAAAAGCAACTCTGGGCAGTTTACAGAGAAGATAACATCAATTAACAATGTGCTGTTATGACTCCTTTTCTGAGGCATTCCAAGAACTGATTAAACCTGAGATTTACTAATAACATTTTCACAATATTGCCAGGGAAACAAGCTAGAAAGGAATAAATTTCCACAATGGATTCAAACCAGAAGCAACAACGTCCTAAGTGTGAATCAAAGAGAAGTAAAGAACCAAGGACTGGATGCTTTAAGCTGCAAGGGAAAGAAATCACATGGTAGAATTTCCCACCACAGAACAAAGACTGATGATTTCTACCTATAACATAAAGACAAACAGATTCCATCCTAGAAGCAAAAGGAGACAAATGGCTCCAAAGCCTAACTTGGTTCTTGTACATGGGGAAGTACCCAAGCACAGTTAAGGTTCAAAAGGTAGACTAGCACAAATCTTGCTTAGTGCAACCTGAATGGAGCACCTATATTGGAATTGTCTCTTTGTACAAAAATACAATATGATTACAGGAAGTCCTCGACTTATGACCACAATTGGGACCAGAATTTCTGTCACCAAGCGATACGGTTGTAAAGCACAACACTGCATGACTGCATTGCTTAGCAATGGCAATCCTGGGCAGTCCTATTGCCGTCGTAACCCCAAGATGCATGGGTTGTTAAGTGGGAAGAGTCAAGAGCATAGGGTGCCACGGGGGAGTTGGGGAGGCCTGGGAGGGCCAGCACATGCCACGCATGAGTTGGGGAAGGGGCTGCTGCAGTGCGGTGAGAGCTCAGAAAGGCTGGGGAAAGAATATGCTGTGGCTCAGGGGCTTCTTGACATGCTGCAGCTCTGGAGCTGCAAGCTTTTTGCAGCCCCAGAGCCACAGTGCACCAGGGCTGAGGCTGGGCTTTGCACAGCAGAAAGGGACTTCCTGGCACACCACAACTCTGGGGCTGCAAAAAGCCCCAGAGCCACAGTGCACCAGGAAGCCCCTTTGCGCAGCACTGCTGGGCCAGGTGCCCACAGCTCTGGGGCTGCAAAAAGCAAAAGGCCCCAGAGCTGTGGCATGCCAGGAAGCCCCCTTGTGCTGCCCCAAACCCAGCCCCAGCCCAGCCCAGCAATGCAGCACAAAGCCGCCACGCCCGGGGAAACCCCAGCCACCCAAGCCCAAGCCCAGTCGGCCGCACCACCCTGCCCTCCAAGGCCCCTGCCACCCTGCATTCCGCTGCCCCAGCTGACCTTCGATGTCTTCTTGTTCCCGCAGCTGCTGGCCAGGTGAGGCCATCTTCCCCAGTTCTCACAAAGAAACTTCTATGCATGACCTTGGGAAGAAAGCCTGGTGCAGCCAGCAGCTGCCTCACAAAGGGCCAGGCCAGGCATGCTTGGTCAGCGGCAGGAGCAAGAAGATGGCGAAGGTCAGCTAGGACAGCAGGGCCACAGAGTGCAGGGGGCCAAAAGGGCACAGATGGGGGGGAGATAGATGGGTGGGGGAAGCTGAAGTGCCCTTGCGGTCATAACTGCAGGCAGGCTGCCAAGCACCCACATTTTGATCATGTGACCATAGGGGGCGCTGCAACAGCCGTAACTTTGGAGGCTGGTTGTAAGTCCATTTGCTTAGCACCATCATAACGAATGGTCATAAGTCGAGGACTACCTGTATGGCTTATAAGTAGAAAAGCTTGTCTTTTGATGACTTTATTGACATGCTCGTACAGTTTTCTTGGCCGTAGAACAAAGAAAACTTCCAAGATCTTTGGATTTTCCAGTCTAGCCTACCGCCCTGGTGTTCCCTACAGCCTCCCTTTAAAGCACTAACCAGGATTAACCCTGCTTAGCTTCCAAGACAGAACATGGTTATAAAATTCTACCACCTACTGAGACTAGACTCCTATAAACATTTTCTGAGATAAAGCCCCACTGAATTCAATAAAGGTGAACTCATATTTTCAGGCACAATATTCATCTATAAAGTTGGAATTGGGAAGGGAATGACAGGAAAAGCCCCATGACATTCCCCCCTCTTCTCAGTTTCTGAAACCTTTTTCATGCCTTCACTAGCAGCCCAGCAGGCAGACAAACAATGGTCTGGCTGCCCTGGTTGACTGTGAAGCACCTGCATTTCCCATGCTGGAAGGCTCCTATTTTTAAACAGACACCCAGAGGGTCCAAGCAGGCTTATGGGAAGTGCCTCCATATAAAGACACCAGCTCCTCTTGGTGCCTATTACTCCCGTAATAGGTCTGAGCATCCAACTGGAAACGGCAGTCCAGGGGTTGGGTTACATGATCCCCTCCCTCCACTGGGGAATGCAGACACCATTCCTAATTCAGCCAGCTGTTTTTCTAGCAGTTCTCCAATGGCCGGGTGTGCTGGAGAAATTATAGGTAGTGTTTTACTGCTTGCCATAAACAGTCAGTCTCAAGGGATGCAGGCTTCTCATAGATTGTTTTGCAAGAAAAGTTCTCCATGATCTTCTTCCTAGTTTTTAAATTATAGCTTAACTAAATATGATACAGCAAAAACACTGAATTTGGATCAAACTTAGCAAGCAAAAGGGTATTTAAAGAGAACTGGTGGTCTGAAAGAGGGGTGGTGCATCACCCTTATCCCACCTGCCAGTCTGTCCTCACAATCCCATTCCCAGATTTGAACTTATCCTCTAGAGGACCCCTGCCAAGATAGGTGGCAGCATTCAAAAAGCTAAGTAGGACCAATTCTTATTAGTATTTTGATGGAAGATCATCAGGAAGTATCAGGACTATAGGCTAGGCTGGGAATTCAAACAAATCAAAGTAGGAGAAGGCATCTTCAACAACTCACAATTTGGGTCAGCCAGAGAATTAGCTGAGCTCACTGACCACCACCACAATCTATCTGAGCACATCAGCCAATCAGTATTGACTCCCTCCCTCTGACATATCACATGCTGAGTTTACAGCCCCCACTCCCAGGTTCTAGCCTCCATGAGTCCAGAAATGGTAAAAAAAAAAGAGATAAAAGTTTAAAGCATGGAAAAAAGGTTCAAGCATGTACATACACACAATAGAGTCCATGAATTGGCCTCCACCCACATGCATTCTTCTGGTAGTTTGTGAAGCTACACAACTAGGTGCAAATAGCAGTCTACCTACAGGAATTACACCTTCCTCTTTTCATAGTGACATATCAATGTTCTGGTATATTTTCTCTACATATCCTACAAGTGGGATTAAAGCCTTATCTTCAGGGTTGGCTAGGAGAAACATGAGCCAAGAGGTAGGGGATGTGGCAGCTGACAACAGCCACTCAAGAGAATAGAAGAATCATAAAGTTGAAAGGGACCACAAGGATCGTCTAGTACAATGTTTCTCAAACTCAGCAACTTTAACATGTATGGGCTTCAACTCCCAGAATTCCCCAGCCAGAAGGTTTAGTATAACCTACCACAAAGTACACAAAAATCAACTAAACTAAAAGGTAGCTGCCAGCATCTTCTTAAAATCCTCCAGAGATGGAGAATAGACCACCTTCACAGGTGGGCTACTTTCCTGTTGTACAGATTTTACCATTAAGTGTTTCTTTATATTTAAATGAAATCTAGATAACTACAACTAATACATGTTATTTGCGGTCCAGGTTTCTGTGGCCACGGAAAAGCATTTGTGGCCATCTTCCCTATAGCTTCCTTTTATGTATATGAACACAGCTATTATGTCTCCCCTAAGTCTTCTTTTCTTCAGACTGAACGTCCCAAGTTCCTTCAGCCTGTTCTCACAGAGCATGTCTTCAAGTCAGCGTTTTTCTGTAGTGGAAGCAAGAGAAGGATAAAAAAATCCCTTCCTCATTTTCTTAGGGGCTAAGGAAGCAGAGCATTTCAGCACATACAGTGTGTTACCAGTGCTTTGCAGCAGAGACTGGTGAGCATCAAGGAGGTGACAAGTGTCAGAAGCAAGGTATTCTCCGTATGTGCTAGACCTCAGTAACTTATGGGATAATCTCTGGGGAAACTTGTTCTTGCACACTTCATCAAAACTAACGTGAACTGCCAAAGTACCCTATAGATCACCTTTGCTTATGCCCCATTCTGCAGCTCTTAAACAAGTCACTAGACAAGAATAACAGACTTGCTTTATCTCAGGATAGGGCCAAGGCAGATCTTGGAGGCAGATGTACACCGAGGGTTCAGAAATTTGTGGGATGCTGAGTACATAAGAGAGCCAGAATGGCAGGCAAAGGGTTTAGTAAAATAATGGCAAAGAGAGAAGAGCTGGGGGAGGAAAACCTGTCAGAACCCAGAAGGAATCAGAAGGGGACTTGGCTTACTATGATGGACACTTTATTCTTAAACCTCACAGCTGGAATAAAATAAATTCTGGATCTGCCAAGTTTTGACAAAAGCTTGTCAAGGACATAAGGAGGAGATATGTGAGCCATTTAACTGGAAGAAAGTAAAAAAGAAATGCATTCTTAAGAAACACAGATTTGAGGCAGGTAGCCAAGAAACCCAAAAGACCAAAGAAGTAGAGCAGAAAAGTTGGATCTCCCTGAAAGCTGAATTAAATAGTTTGTGTTTGGCCAAGGTGCTTAATGCTATTCTATTCCCCTTATTTATGCCATTTTATCTTTTACACAACATCCAAAATTGAGTCACAAAGTGGCTAAACCATTAAAAACCAACAAGTATCAATAAAGCTTACCCCAAAAAAGGCCCACCAACAGAAACTTCAGAATTAAAATACCTACAACTGAAATCCATAAACTTTTAAAATTTCTTTTAAAAAAACAAAGGCAGTCTATTCCATAACATCAGCACCACCGTAGGCAAAATTTTGTCCTACAATCAGTGCTACAGTGTGGAAAGTACATATCCCAAATCATTAATTAATGGAAATGTTCTTATGCTAATCGGACCAATTTGCACCAGGCATTTTTTTTTATCAGAAAGTTTTCTGATGTAAGCTGAAAACTGCCCTATGCACATTAACCTAATTTTCCAGTTCCAGATTTTCTGGAAAGCCCACATCGCTGCCTCCAACGGAAGGGCTCACCAAGATACTTTTATGGACAGCCTAAATTCTCAGGTATGTGTGTTCAGGAAAAAACAGATACTGTCAGTGTTCCAAACCATCATTCCCCAGCCTGGCATTCTCCAAATGTGCTGGGACTGGCACATCCAGAACTGCCTGCCAGCATGACAGAATTCTGGAACTTGCATGCCAGCAACAATAGGAGAACATCCATTTGGGCTGATAAGGCGAAGCCACTGTGGGCCTAATCCTTGCACTGTGTGAGCTGTGCACTGAAACAGCTGTTCTTTGGCACAGAATGCCAAATGGCCATCTGAGGCCCTTTGCTGTCAAACTCACTTGAGATGCTGGCATCACTGTTAGGGGGACTCTGTACCACAGGGCTACAGGATAAGCTGGTTAACACCATTGCTGCCATCATCTCGTCCATCTCCACTGCAGCATCTGGTTTCCTGCAATGACAGAAGGAAGGGGAGGGATAAGATGCTTCCTCCCACAAGAATCAACATACCAAACATCCTAGCAGAGACATCATTCACCAGATACTCCCATCTTGAGTGCTTCATGCTGCTTGCATTTGTTTCCTTGCAACGCTTTCTTCCTCCGGCACAAGTTAATCATTAATATGCAACGAGTAAAGCATTTTGATCAAAACCTCAACTTTTAACGAGCCATTGACATCTACAAATTCAAGCGAGTTCAGGACTTTTCTTCTGTACAAGACGTGGACTCAGGAAAGCGCTCCTGTCTCTTACATCTCCAGGATGAAGATTTCTAAGAGGTGCTCCTGACGTGATTTTTCAAGCAACCCCCACCCCTTCCCTGCTATTCATAAAGGCGTATCTCTTGAAGTCAGTAGGAAAAGCTTCTGCTGTCAGTTTTAAAAACAAGCAGATTAAGAAAAGTATTTGGGATTTCTTATTTATAAGGCTCCTGTTCTAACTTGGGAGGGGCTGGACCTCAGTTTAGATGTGCAGGCAGAAGAGATCTATCCCTACCAACTGCAGCAAAAAATAAATTGCAGCAGTTGCCTGAAACACTGGAAACCTGCATCATATAGAAGCAGCTTTTCAAGTTCAGTGCTAGGTATGTTAATGGGCAGCATCTCCCTTCTCTGACCAGTTTTCCTAAGCAACTGAAAGTAATATGCTTGTTTCATTAGGACAGTAGCAGGTTAAGCTTTTAGATCAATTCTGTTGGCATTACTGTCTCATTCTTTTGCACAGTTCATTTTGATGGTTTAGGATTTATTTATTTACCTAACTACAGTATTTATGGGCTGCTCCAATCTGTACAGACTCTAGGCAGCAAATGACAGTTCTAAAATACAATCATTAAAAGCAATCCATAACAATAAGTACAACAGTAAACCACCTATAATGGCTGCTCAAACATGACTAAGGCCCAAAAGCCCTGCACAAAAGGTAGTACAGCTTTAATAGTTTCTATAAAACAAAAAGGAATGGAGCTCTCTATCCTTCCAGGAGTAAGTTGCTCCATAAAGAAGGGCCACCACCAAGAAGGTCTGTCATGTAGACCACACCTTAGGTACTAAGGAGACTCTCTTTAGATGACCCTACTAGACAGGCAGATTTTATTTTGGCAAGACATTACTTGATATAACCCAGTACTGAGGGGTAAAGGGCTTTAAAAGTAATGGCCAGCACTTTGAATTGGGCCCCAAAACCAACTCATAAACAATGTAGCAACTTCAAAATAGGCATCATTCCACACTGGTGGGAGTGCCCTGACAACCATCTTGCTGTTGTATTTTGCACAAATCCAGCTATTGGGTGATCTCCAAAGGGAACCCCCCACAGAGCATGTGTACAATAGTCTAAATAGGTCATGATCAGGGTATGAACTACTATCACCAAGGTGTCTTAGCCAAGATATGATACGATTTTAGTTCGTGGCTGCAAATTATTTACTCATTTGTTTGAAATATTATAAATACTCTCAAGTACCACCCTTCAGTTAAAAAGGCTCCTAGAGTACCTTATGTAAGATCAAGTACAAACAAAGCTGTATTTGCCTTTGTGCTTGCAATCTAATAAAATGAAAAGGAAAGAAAACAGCAAGGAGGAAAACTGCTTTCTGCATTTTGTTTCAGTCGAGAAAAAAATGCTATCAAAATGCAGAAAATCCCTGTTATTATGGAAATATTATGCAATATTGCGTAACTACAGCCAAACGAGCATTCTAAACCACCCACCTTTTTGGTACATCAATATTCCTAGAAACCGATCTCAAACTAGATGTTACGGCAATATCTGCTGAAGATGTGGAATGCTCCATTACCACAGGGACCGCACTGTAGTCCATTGTTGTAGGGGTTCCATGGTCCATCTCCAGTTTGGGGAGAGGTGATGCCCCAACTTCAGCCAGTCTCACTTCCTCAGCTTTCCTACTGACATAAAACCCCTTTTCCAGGAGCAACACCTTCACTTCATGACTGACTAGGTCATGGTACTCCACCAGCCCAGCACTCTCTTGCCCATTGTAAAAGACATATACCTGTAGGAAGAAAAGTCACTATCAGTCATAATACTCATAATATTGTGAATAATATAACAATATTCTCCAAATGAATACCCTGCTTTGTTGTCCTTGTTACCATTTTCCATGCATGCATACATACATACATACATACATACATAAGCAAGCAAACAAGCCAAAGTCATGCAAGCCAAACCTACCAATAACTATGAGCCACAGCCTTCAAATGGAACCCTATGTTCAGAAGCAATGAACAGGAATAACCATGCTGCTCAAGCTTGTGAAGCACATGGCTGGCCATTATTAAAGAGAAGATGCTCCACTAAATGTCATTTTGATCTGTACCAAATCACAGCTACTGTGCCTTATAATGGACAGCTTAAAAATGCATTTCCAGAGCCCTGAACAACAGGAGAGGAGCAGGTTCCTTTCACTGGGATATATGCTATGCAGCCACAGAGTCATATCTACATGACCAGCATGTGATACATTTTGCACTCTAGTTCAGCTTCCAAGTGAAAGGGGCATACTGTGATTATCAGCTGACTTTCCATCAGCCTTTGTCAAATCTCTCAAAGAGTGTCAGAATGGGTGAATAAGCAGAAGCTCCTGAAATCTCGCCACCATACAGAAGCACACGCTCTAACAAGACAGAGCAGGTCATCTGGCCAGGAAAGAAGACCCAAAAAGAGAATGAGCAGCCCATGCTTGGCTGGTCCATGGAAAGCTGATATTTAGGCTCCCCAAAGGTCTTTCCCCTCTGCTACTTAACTTCCTAAAGTCTATTTTTGTATGTAATTTTATCTAGGCTAAGAAGGGCACTCTTGAGTTAGTTATTCCTGGGGGCGTTATTTATAGAAGGATTCTAATTACTATATGGAAAAACTGGGGAGGCTACAGTGATCAGACTGTTCTGAAAGAGTGGAGTAACAGGATCCATAACACTCCTTGGAAGATATATGCATTCAGTCAGTGTGTACAACCTGTATGTTGGTGGCCTCACGCAGCCCAGCACAGGGTCCAGTAGGGCCTTTGACATCTTCCCAAAATCATGACTGCACCTCTCCTTCTTTTTGTCCTAAGTGTCTGTGGGTGCCCGTGGGGGTCTGTGCAGGAGGGAAGGGGGTTTGCTCACATGCTTCCTAATTCATTTTGGGTTAGGAATCAACTGAGATGAGAGAAGATGGAGATCACTGTATGTGTACATGTTGCAGTTAGACCTAAATTAATGAAAATGTATTCATGATTAGGTTGATGTTCATCCTCCATCCGCTTTCAAAATCTTTTATGAAGCTTCACCCTTTCTGCAATGTGATCTCTGACATACTGTTCAAAGCCTGGCATGGGCTTTGGTCCAACAAAGGTTCCCCACACCCGCTGCATTAAAAGGTTTGTGCAAACCAGCACTCAGAGTATTTTCTCCAAAAAAATCCTCCCAAATGACCTTTAGCTTATGTAAATCATTATTTATCTATCTGCCATGCCTTTGCAGGTGTCATGCACAAGCCACATTTATTTGGTGAAAAGAAAGCCAGAAAATGTATCAAAAGGTACTGCAGGAGCCCTATCACAACAGATCCGGGGGGGGGGGGGCGGGGAAATTAAGGCAGTGCACTGAACAAAATCCCATCAAACTGAAAAGCTTGGGACAGGAATTCTGTAAGGTGGAAAGATTAGGTTCAAATAATATACCAAGCCATAGTTTG